CCAATTTCGTGTACAAGAAACTGTCATTTGTTTCAAAAAAAAAAAAAGAGTAGAGCGTTAGACTCACTACAACTTTATCAAAGGAGGGAAGCTCTCCATTTCTGTTTGGTCAAAGAAAGGTTTCAAGCTCTGTTTCAGTTTCATAATCTCACTCGGCTAATCAGCGAAAAAGACACTCAAACTCAGGAAAACAGCGAAAAAACTTAAATGTATAAATTTTGAAGAAGGGGAAAAAATTCTTCTTTTCAACATTTCTCGGGATAGGGTGTTTTACACAAGAAGGAGGAGAGCCTGGCGTTAGCCGGGCGATCCGACTGGTGCTCTTATATAATAGTAACCTCAAAAGTAGAGTCACCGCCTCATCATTTTTTCCTGATGCAAAACTCATAAGATTGGAATGAAAGTTATTCGTCTTTTTTCACCCGTCGAATCGACTTGACCTGATTCTCGGCTTCGATCTCTTCTAACTTCTCAGACCCTTTGATAAATGGCCAAATTCTGAAAGTTTCGTGTAAGCTTGGTTTTGTCTTGGTATCTGTACTCACTCGTTTGTGTTTTGTTTTCTTTTCGTTTATGTTTGTGCTCTTGACTTCTTTATAGGCTTCGTGTTGAAGTACTCACGACCCAAAGTTTTTGCAAAAACTCACAGTATGGAGTTAGATTCATTCGTGGTCAAGTGTGCCTCGGAACCCACAAGAGAGCACGATCATATCGGAAGTAGTCTTTTTCGGAGAAAGTCGAATCGTGGACACGGAAAGTTTTGGGGATAAGGATGGCGGGCAGGAAAAAAGAAGCGGGGAATAAAAAGATGAAGCTGAACGGGCCAATTTTCGCCACTTTAGGCTTGACCTTTGCTCAAACTTAAGTATATCTGCATCGAAAAATATTTTCTGAACGGACCAATTTGCCCTCAAAGGTAGCGTAGGCATAGATTTTTCATGTTAACCTAATTTTCAGCTCTCACTCTTCATCTGTAATTTGTACTCTTTTCTGGGAAAAGCAATTTATTTTGAGGTGAATTGGAAGCCGCTCGAACAGCCACCGATAACTCTACCAAATGGTCTACCTGGTGTGACTAGTGGTGCTCCCGTACGTCCCCCTTCAAGTGCTTCTTCACATCATCAGCAAGAGCATCGTGAAATACCACAAGTGCGAAACTGTTGCAGACCAATCTTGCTTATTTATATCAACTTGATCCCTCCATAGGTAGCGCTATCGCCTGAGGACCAAGCAATTATGGACCGATTCTATCAGCTGATAAACTCCATCCTATCAGTGAATCGGACGCCGGTAAGCGAACTCAACTATTAGACACAAGTCTAGGAAAAAGTTTTCTCATGAGGACATTCAGGTCGCACTTCATAAAGTAGAAGAAGCAAAATCTCGACTTGGTTGTGAATTAGCACCTAGGTTAGCCACTGGAAAGGTGGGTGCTGGTGTAAGCATTTTTGGATACCTTTTTGAAATGATCCAGGCTACAAAAGCTTGTTTTTTAAATTTATTATTGGCAGTCACTATACTGACTTTGAGCTGTTACAGTTGTCGTTCGCCACTCGTAAATTGTTATGGCAGTGTTCCGAGCAGTCGGCTCATGGGGACTATCGTGGAGCAGTGGCGACATGTGGACAAATGGTCCGATCTGGTGGAGATTTTGTAGAGGTTGGTGTATTTTGCACTCCATACAAGAGAAGAGGTATCATATTATCGCACTGGTTAGGGCTAGGTGACTGAACTCGTACAAAGTGGGTGGGGTGCTCCACAGCGCGTTCCATATCACATGTTGTAGTCGTTGTTTGATGTCTTTTCGAGAGGTGGCAACTATGAATCAAGGACTAAAGCTGCCCGGTAATGATAACTCCTATCGGAGTACGCCATGCATGCTACTTCATTTGGCAAATATGTTGTGCATGAAAACAAAGTAGTTTTTCTATTTCATTATCTTGGTGCCTCCTGAAGTTTATCGGATTGTTCCCGAAGACTAGAGAATTGAAATGCTGGGCTGGCACTTGATTCAATGAAAAGTTGGAGTATAGAGCGATCATTGCTTTTTGCCCCTCCTATCGCTATTTTTTCAGGTATCAGCGTTTCTGCCAGCATTGAAATCACTGCTTTCGCTAGCACAGTCGACTTTTGCGAGGTGATGTGACCGTCTGCGATATCCGGATGAATTTGCTTCTTTTTTCGCGTTTTAATAAGTCCTAATAATATGTGATAAGATATTTAATTTATCGAGCCATCTGTTGAATTACAGCTATTTTTTGTTATGTGTGTTTACAGTATCCTAAAAGTCTGTTTTGTATTGTTTACTAGGGAATGTCTACGTGTCAAAATGTGCTTCGTAAACATCTGCATGGGTTTTGAAGGGCAGTCCATTGTTGATTTTTTGTGTTCTTCTACGAAATGGTGATAAATATTGATGAATAAAGATGTCCATTACTGTGTTGACTATTTTCAATGGTTTCTAAACAGTGTTTATTTGAAAACCCAACTTTTAAATCGCCGACGGTAGTCAGGTGCCGGTCATCGCGAAGCCGCTTCGCGGCCGCTCGCGTCACCTCTTGCGGAGCACCAATCGTGGTAATCGCATTGCACATTTTGTAACTTTTTGAGCGGTTGTGCTTTGGCAGTTCTGTCTTTTGAGCTGTGCTTAATGTTTAGGAGTTTGCTACAGTTTCACTCACTGTCAGCTTTACATCGCTCCTGGGAATCCCGCTTACGTAAAGCTATCGATTTTGGGGCTTTCCAATCGCTCTAGCAAAAAATGAGCCACCTCAACGGGAATCATCAGATTATCTTGAGATACATATAGATATAGTTGGAAGAGCTGGGCATGGTTCATTTCTCATTATGTCCCTCCCACCACTCAGTACAGCCACAAGACAGCCACTTGTTATTGAGAACTCCGAAACGAATGTGAAAATTGCAAATTCGAGTGACCATGGAGTAGCATGGAGGATGATGTCCACAGAAGGTATTGCTATGGAGCCGAAGTTTGGTATGCTGGCCCCACGGGAAACTTGTGAACTGAATATCACCCGCGAGAAGGACCAAGCCGAGCGAGTAGGTTGTAAAGGTTATTGAAAGTGCCAATTTTTTTTTATTTCAGAATTAAATTCTTCAGGAACCTGATTGAAGGTGAATCAGGAGAGGCGTAATTCTTCTCTTCTCGAGTCAGGGACAGCCGAATGTTTAGACTTTAGTCTGAACTCACGTGAGCCACTCCCTACTCAGTCGGAATGGAGCCATGCCCTGCAAAAGTTGAAAATGGTGACGATACCAACATCTTGGTTGCAATGTCGGGTGATGGGTGAAATCCTAAACACAAATGAAACCGACACCGGGATCTTCCATTCCCTACGGGCTATCAGCCTTGTGAACGATTAAGGGTTCCTTCTTGAATAGCTAAGGGCATCTTTCAGCGATCTAGTTTTGACAAAAAGACCCGCAGTGGGGCATCCGGACCCACACCGCTGTGCGATTTCTCGATCCAGTGCGACAATCCGCGGTATCTCCATTCTGTCAGTAGCCCAAGAAAATGTAGATGTAGTGCGCATTGATTTTTAGAAACTGGACAGTCGCAAAGTTCACTTAACACCTGAAAAGGATTTTGTCCATTTTCCAGAATATGGCTAATGATCGAGTAGGGATCGAATGGATCAAGGCTCCTGCAGACAAACCGAAAGATGAAGTGTGCGAAGATTGGTTCGACGACGCTAAAATAATTCATCGAAAAAATTTCAGCATTACTGATGAATAAATCAGTTGACGATTGTCTTAATTTCTGTTGAGTTTTGAAATTGTGAGGTTTTTGGCTGACAAAATAAGTACCTCTTTTCACGTGATGGAACAACAACCGAACAGGAGTCATTTTCCCATTCCGACCGATCTTGGGATTTGTAGAAGGGTTGTATGAATCATATATGTACTGGATTACATGATCCTCGCTCGAACAGCTCTCCAAACACCATCGATGGTGCAGAGCAGTAGCAGTTCTTGGAATCTGTTCGGATGCGGATGATCCCGTATTGAAAGTGATGGATTAACTGCTCCGATTACTTGAATTATCTTATCTAGTTCGTCAAAGCGATCGGTTTTTTTTCAACACCATCACCGCACAGGAACCAATGCATAAGCAGGGAAGGGCATCGATTTTGGCTCAATTCCCATCTGACCACGGGCGAAATTCTCTGAAAGAGTTACATTTCCATCTCTACCATTCTCCTTGAAGCAAACGTCTGTCGTATAACTTTAATGCATTCATGCATTCCGTGCAATGAGAAGCAATCTTTTTTTCGGGAAATTGTGAGCAATTCTGATTCTGGATAGAACCAACTATGCCTTTCGAGGAAAATTCTCATGTGTATCAAATGCGAGGACCACTCCTCTTGGTGCAATCATGGACCCTGTGCATTTCTTCGACACCTCTTACTTTAGATAACCATCAGTTGAACAGTATGAGATACGCTGCGGACGAAGAAGGTAAGATAAGGTATGATGGGTTGTGCTGTACACAGGTATCATGTTGCTGTGTCCTGAGCAGGAACTCATCAAAGTGTTGGGTAAGCTGACCATTGTGAGTCAGTGGACATTCGAGAGGTTGGGTGGATTGTGGGGGCTGGTGGTTTTTCTCTAAACACGGGACTTGCCAGAGACTAGAACGGGAAGGAGGTAGGTTTAGATCACGACGTGTTCAGGTGCCAAACCTAGCAGAATGATAAAGCTTCACCTAGATTCAAGCCTTAGTTATACAATGGCACCGCGGCTTGATTAGAAAGTTACAGTTGGGATTTGTTCCCTAGGAAGGTATGCGCCCAGCAAACAGGATAATGGGATCTACGAGTTCATTCTTGATACAGACAGTGTACACCTTGATCTACTCTTGAGTGATTAGGGTCGGTCAATACTCAGTGCCCTTCACCACCCCTGAGGCATTTTCTACTAGTTTGTCCTCTCTTAGTCAATTAAAGGTCTATAATGAAAATCAGACGCTCATATGGCTCCATCCCTTATGGCTAGAGCCCCCAGCGCACGCAATAGCGTGCGTATCCGCCTGGTCATTATATACAGTGTGAAACGTTCACGACAGGACCACTAGACCATCCCAATCAGGGATTTACAAAATTGATTTTAAAAAACAGCAGAACATGACAACAAATACTGAACGGAATCACGTTTTGATAAAGAACAGAATCTCACTATCATTTTTATGCTTCACAAAGACTAGAGGATTGAAATTATAAACGAATTAATTCGGTCAGTCTTATGTACATATGGCGTCACAGGCTTCATTCCGGCTTCAGCGGTTGATCCGAAATTGGCTTGATCCGCGGCGCTGCGAATGTTACGATTGTGGGTTCTTGTTCGTTGACTACGAACATGTTACTCTAAAAAGATAGAGATAGTCCAGGATAGTTTGCTATATAATTATCGATCGAATATCGATCAATTATCGATTAACGACAGGAAACCGACCTTCATACATCTGTGTTTCAGTCCGTAATGGGCAAAGACTTTTTGACGAATTTCTCGTGAGGTTAGGAACATCATCCACGGATTCACATATGACATGAAGCACGTTAATAAAGGAAAAGCCACTCGCCGCATCCAGAATATTGGATACTCCTGAAGAAGTTCTTTTGGTAAGAGACATTTTTCTGGAAGATATGGAGGATGGGGTCATAAAGGAAGTGAATCTGGCAGATGATCTGACCTCAATGAAAAAAGGAAAGTCTCAACATTAACACCTTCTACAAGCTCTGTTTTTCGAGATCGAAGAATGAAGGACGAAGTTCCCTTGGCGTCGATCATTTCCTCCCCGGAATGCATCTATGTGTTCGCCTCCAATTTAGAGTCGTAGGGACGTTTGATATCGTATTTGTTTTCTACAATGTCTAACAGTTACCAGTCAGAAAAGTGAGTGCTGTTATTTTCCCAGAGTAGCCTAGCACCAAGCTGCTGACCTTGGCCAACGCCAAAGAATAGAGTGATTAGCATGAGCAGGATTCAAACACATCCCCAGACCACGCGCACAATAGTGCGCCACCTCTTATCACCCCACTCCGTCTGGTTGACTGATACTTTACAAAAAAATCCCGGAAGTTGGGTGTTCCTCATACCAGGCTTTTAAGGAGTAAGGAGCAGAACGAAATCTATTCTGATTCGAAGAAGCTGCCTGGGTGCTATGAAATTCGCCTCTGCCTCAGGTCGTATTGATAGAATTAGCTGCCAGAGCATTAAACACCAATTTCTACTTCTTTTGACTCATCCATCCTTCATACCATTCAGTGGTCTTGATACAATAATGATAGGGTCAGAATTCTACCGTAACCGTAGCAACTTACATCTTCTTTCAATGAGAAGTCGAACTGCAGGACATGATATACCGTACAAAGTGTTAGCGCCACCACTACACCAATCATCTGTACACATACACGACGTTCACGTTGACGAGCCCTGAAAGTAGAATATACCTTCACTGCCCTGCAATAGAACTCTGAAGTACTGTCTCTCGTCTTGTACGGCTCAGGTAGTGAGGCTATTTCCAATTCGCTGGCATTGATGAATCGTACGGGCCACTTCTCCCCACCATAAATCTCCATCACGACTACGGACCTGTGTCAGATTTGCAGTTTCCGCTGACTATCATATGTGGATTCGAATGATAGTCAGTGATAACTGCAAAGCTACCGTCCTCTACTCATAACCCAGTTTGAACGTATACTTCAATTCATTCAAAAAAAGTTCAATTACTAGTTTAAGGTAACAATAAAGTAAAACATAGGTTTGCGACACTTTTTTCGGATTCTTGGTACGGAAAGCTTCGAATAAGTTATAACCTCTAGTTATAGCCTTGTCCCTAAAGTTATAATACCACGTTTCTTTGAGTGATAAACTCTGGGATTAGCTTTTTATATAAAAAATTTATAACAAGCTTCCACACACAATTGAACCCAGGCCTTGTTCTCGGAATGAAGAAACCATAATTGTGTGGAAAGTCCTTGTCGTAATCTGTAATCCTAATCTTTCTCTCCTTCGAGGGTGACTTCTTAAAAAGGTTACTTTCTTGCTTCTTCTTTCAATTTTTACTTCTGCTTTCATCATTTCCCATCCTACCTCATTCGAGCAGCCACTGGATTATAAAAGTCTTCACAGAAGTGTAATCGAATTTTCTTTCATGGGATTAAGCAGAATCAAGTTTTTTCCAAGCAAAACAAAAAACCTTCTGAACGAAACCGAATGATTACAGCATTAGAACAGAAGGCCTCAGCTCGTAACTAATAAAAATTTACTCCTTCCAGGGGTTCTTGGCATGCGTCACTTCTGTTTGGGAAGCAACTTCAGGCGAAAGAGCGCCACGTAAACTGGAGCAGTGGTACTTCCTGACTTATATTTTTCACTCCATATATTGGGCCTAAAAACCGAGAAATAGCCAAATGGTTAAGAGGGTAGGCTTCAGTCTACACTCAGAACGACCGCGAGTCCGAGGAGTGAATGCCCTCAATCAAGAAAATTAGTTCGATTATGAACCAGAATCGTGAGAGATTCATCTTACTGAACGCAAAAACATCCATGTCCTGTACGTTCATGAGACACACTGGAAAGGAGCCGATATCAGGGCAGTAGGAGAGGGTGTCAAGCTTTTTAAAGGCACCGTTTACGATAAATTTAGGGTACCCTTTTTTGACGAGAATTCATAGAACTACTCTAGAATAAAGCGATAACAACGAAAAAAGCGCAAAAAGCGATGAACAAAAAGAAATAGAAAG